ACTAAAACACCACTTCATGTCATGCAGATTATCTTTGCTATATGTAAAGATGAACAATTGTCATTTAAGCTGCTTTTACAAAGAAGATTTATTACTTCCAGAGTGAAATGACAATTATTGAAATCTTAATAGTGGAATCCCAGTTTGCAATTAACAGTACTTCTGTTAGAGCAGGTGACAGGAGCAAAGATGAAGTTAATTTTTTTTTTTTTCACCGTTGTTTTTCCTGAAGAAACGTTATAGATCATAGCTGGAAATTAATATGCTTGAATAACAATTTTTCCAGCTGCATAAATAATAATAAAGCCAGATATTATCATTCAGTGGTGTATAACTGAATGTGTATAAATACATAAACTGCATTGCCTTGTATACATATATATATATGTATGGATGTGTATACATAAGTATATACACTTAAAAATATGATTATATTCTGTTAAAAAATATATGATTATATACATTCTAAGTATTCATAATTACTTAAACTAAATGTTAAGGCTGTGAAAACTTCTAAGATTCAAAAGCCAAAGAAAACCTGGTTTAGCTTTTTTTTCTTTTTCCTTTGTGCACTTGCATTATTCCATCACATCTTTTTATGTAGTCAGTATTTTTATACTAGTTTTGGTGGAAACAAAGCTTAGGGAATCACTCAAGCAGAGTGTGATATCACCTCCTAAAAGTTTTCCAGAAAAAGAGGTTTCAAAAGCCATTCTGTTCTGCTAGATCTGCTGAAGAATGGCCTGTAGAGAAATTAAACATTTATTTATAAACACTTGTAACATTGTCCCAGGTAAATTTCTATTCCCTTGGCTGTTCCTGCTCATATGTATGCAGGTAGTGGGTGATACTGTAGGGGAAAGAGATTACTTTAGCTTAATACTTGAGATGTTTAAGTAGACAAAGAAATTGAGGTTTTTGTCCCTACTTTGCTGGAGGACAGTTGGAGCGGGAAGAGAAGGCAAAACATGTTACCTCAGCCTCATAATCCAGTTATATATGGAGATAAAAGGAAATGTTGCTATAATTCAGTTAAAAAGTCAATCAACAAAGAGGCATAAATCCAGTAGAAACAAGACTTTATCAATTTTTGTCCTTGCAATAAGATTTGTTTCCATGGGAAATCCTAAGGAAGAAAAAAATTGCTTATTCAATCACTGGACCTAATACTAATTCAGTTTTCACTTTTTTTCTAGTTTGTTGTCTGGTGGGATACTTTGAGTTTTTCCCTGCCTTCCTTTGATGTAAACAGAATGATTCATTTCCATTTTCATTTTGTTTTGGGGTGTTTTCATGACACAGCCATTCTATTAACTTAGGACTTGACATTCCTCCATGGATGTCGACACATCTCAGTGAGCTGAGGAGTGTTTATCATGCACATCTGACACAACTGCAATGGAGGCAGAGGGATTAAGCCCCTCAGTATTTAATTTTGGAGCTTTTTGTGCTTACTTTCTGCCAATACGTTTCTTTTTCTTTCTACATGTTTCCAAATTTTTTTTGTGGTAACATCAGATTGATACAAATGTCTGATTCTCTGAGGAGATGATAAAATGATCTGTGGTTTAGTAGATGAAACAGTGTTGACCAGTACTGCAGCATTTGTCACTTTTTCTTTTCCCACAGGAAAAGGACATGTCACAAGTGATTTTGTGGCACAACCGATTTCCTCTTTGTTTAATGCTGACTGCCTTCCCCCCCTTCCCTCCAAACCTCATCCCCACGAGTTACACACAGACATCAAATTATGAATATGTCTGGAAAAATGTTGGAGCAGCTGACCTGAGATCTGTATATCGTTGTACAGCCTTAGTGTGACAGTGCTTTGGTTGTTTTTCCCTCAGTGCAGCAAATGAGGTAAACCCTGCTGTTTGCTTTAATTAGCTACACTTAATTAAAAGATGATCTTATCTCTATGAAGAGTTTCTATCAAAGCACATATTTAATGCATCTATCATCATCTTTCAGTCCCAAATTATACAAAAGCCCTTAAAGACATGTTCAGCTTGAGCTTTGCTTTAATTAAAGTCAGAACTCTGGATGCTTCTTGTCCTTTCCTGATGCTGGGTTTTCTCACAATTCCATCCCTTGCCACAGATCTGGACCTTGCTGAGAACAGGGGCTGAAATAATCCATGTTTTTCCATAATTAAAGGAAACTGATGGATTATTTTCTTGATGAGTTAGGAGAAGCATCACTGCTCTCTCTGTTTGCCTTGTATATACATATTTTCACCCTGACAGCTCTTGTGAAGAGGAGCAGTGAGTGAGTCACTCCTGTATTAGTCAGTGGAAGCAGTTTCTTGGACATACTCCAGAAAAGACGAGTGTGATCAGAGGACAGCAACAGAGCAGTTAGTGTGTGGTACCTGGGGATGGGCATAGGATGCAAAAAAATTAAATGGGAAAAAAAAAAGAAATAGAGGAGCAGGGGAGTGAGAGTGTTGTAAGAATTTAAGTAAAAAAAAAAACCAAACCAAAACTCAAGGGCACTTCTATATACTCTTCTTTCACTTTTACAGAGTAGAAAAACTTCAGATGTTTTGAGTTTATTTGCTCTTGTTCTAAACTCTCCAGTGTTCATAATTATCCTTTACATGATGAAAACAGACTGAACTGTTGATTGGCATGATTGTTTTGTGTTTATCTTCTGTAGCTAGTGGGTATACTGGAACTGATTTTCTTTTCTCTTTGTTGTTGAAACATGTTTAAAAGCTGTCAGCTTTGCTGATGTTTAAGTTGGAACTTTTTTCCCTCAAATTATATATTATCGTAATGTTTCAATTTTTTGATGGTGTTGGAATATTTGGGACTTTTCAATCAAAAAAAGTTTGGAAATTAATGAGTAGATGTTCTACATAAAAGGCTTGACACAAGGATAAAAACAACAAAAGCTTCTCCTTTATGAAAACAAAATATTTTGATCCATGGCCATTATTTTACTACTCTGCTGCTCACCAGCTTGTGTTTATTTCACAGCACAGCTGTTTCGTTTCTAGTTCTCCCTGCTGGTTAAAAAATAAAATACAGTGCCATTCAATGAAACCTTTTCTATCTGCTACCTGCCCTGCCATTCACTCAGTTCTTAGTCACTTAACCTTTCCCATGTCAGTTCCCAGAGGCTATGCCCTGGAACACAATGAAGGTCTCTCATGATTTCCACCTATGCTGATGCTGAGGCTATAATTGTAATGAAACTCATTTGCAGTTTTGCTGAGGAATAAATTTAGCCCTGGCTTTCACTGAGTGTTTTTTTATAGGAGTGTAAGGAACAACCTTGGCTTTAACTAAGTGTTCAGTTACCTGAAGAGTAAAATCATTAACCTGTGTTGTTTACAGACTCCTTGGGCAATAGCAGAGACCACACCACATCCCTACAGACAGGACAATTGCAGAAAACTGGTGAGACTCACACATGTGGGTAACAAAAGCAGGGCTCCAGTCCAATTACTTTGAAATTATATTCTGTAACTGAGTGGAAGGCAATTTACTGTAGTTGAAGAACCTATTTTCCAACTTCTGAGTAGCAAATGTACCCAGTATGGACAAAGGTAATGAGTTCCCTTTTGACTTTTGGAACGAGTTTTTCTGTTCTCTCTTTCAACAGTTGCAGATGATATTTTTTATTGTTTCAGTTCTGGACTTCCCAACAAAATTAATAATTCCCAATCCTAAATGAAGTCAGTGAGAAGATTTTATTTTTTGTGGATCTAGTGATCCATGACACTGTATGTTGGGGCAACACTTTAACTGTGGGATCAAATTCTGTGCTTGCTGTGACTGATTTTGCCACAAATTCAGAAAACTATGTGTTAGATTTTCTTTACTTCCTTTCTAGATATCTGCAATCTGTTCTGTAGCACTCCAGCAGATCTTGATGGTTAAAATAAAGCAGAATACCCTTCTTTCAGTGCTTCTTAGTGATTCTAGCATCTTAACCATGTTGAGAGACATGTGAAATATTTCTAGAAGACATCTTTTATTTTTCATTTATTTCACGGAATACTTGGATTTTTTTTTTTTAATGAACTTAGAAGACTTTTACTGTGAGGATATAAATAAGAGTACACACACAGAGAGGTTTATCAGACTCCATATGCCATTTCAGTTTCAGCTTTGTCTCAAAGAAGAGCTGACCAAGAACAAGATTCAAAGTGCCAGCAAAGGTCTTGGAGAGTTTCCTAGACTAACAAATACCACTGAGGCCAGTTGCTTTCTTTAAGCCTACTTATCAAACATATAAAAAGCTTTCCTGGGGTTCAGAGAAGTGTCTGAAGTCCTCAGAAAATGAACCAGAAACAGATTTTTCCCTGGTATGTCAGCAGAACATGCATTAACCTGTCAGTAACCCAGAGATAAGAAGGTTCACAGGAGGATCTTTTCAGTGCCTATAAATATCTAATGGGAGGGGAAGAAGAGGAGGCCCCCAGACTCTTCTCTGGAACACCCTTTGAAAGGACAACAGGCGATGAGCAGAAATTTAAATCCAGAAAACTCAATCTGAATGCAAGAAACTGTGTTTTTACCATGAGGATGGTCAAACTCAGCTTCCCAGAGAGCATTCAGAATCTCATCAGTGGAGCTGTTAAAAATCTGTCTGGACATGAGTCCAGGCTGCATGCTGTAGGTGAGCATCAGGATTCGACTGGATGATCTCTGGAGATCTCATCCTATCTCAATTGTTCTCTTTGAGTAGACACTCAAGATCATAGCATGTGTTGCAATGCAGGAAAGCTTTTGATGTCCATGGAAACTCTAAATCTTCTTCAGGTTTTGGGAAACAAAACGAGGCAAGTGTGTGGAAGAGAGTCAAAATGGTCTAGCATTTCTGAAGTGGCCTTATTTCATGATGTAACAATATTTAATCAGGGACATAGTGGAAAATTGACTGAAGCCAGGGCAGAGATTCTGGCTGGAATTTCTGCTAAATTCCACAGCCATCCAAGCAGCTTCAGTGATTCTTGTTTCTTACCATAAATGAAATCCGAGTCAATTCAAAGTTGTGATGCCTGCCTTTTTGACCATTAGATCATTAAGGTGAGTAATGCCCCAATGCTTTCAAAGGATTGCTTTGCACTTCTTTCTCATCGCTCCACTTGAGGATCTCTTAACAGGCCACAGGGTCACTGGCTTGCTCTCAAATGCCAGCAAATCCCAAGTATTCTGTCTGGAACACTTTCAAAAGCGATAAGGACCAATAGGATCAGGTCACCTCATCTTTGATAGCCAGGAACATGTGGACTAGTCACACTAGGAGCAGCAGAGAAATCCCTCTCATTCCAAGGAAGGTGGAAGGGAGGCGTTTTGCTTCTGTTGTGGGCTAAACCATTGCATGGGCCCTGGGCACTGCTAGGATCTGGGGCACTGGAACACTTCAAAAACAGTTGAAGTGCAAGGGAAGAGCAATAAGCATGCAGGATATAAAAAGCTCTTCAGACACCTCAGGTAAAAGGCATAAAAGTTTAGGTAATTCTTGAGTTAAGTGGCTGTTGAAGGGGCTTTTAAAAATTATTATGTTGGAAAGGAGTAGTTATGCCAAATCCAGATGCCTACATCTTACTACATGTGAAACTAAATGTGTTGTTCAGAGCTCATGAATATATCAGGGGAAAAATAGTACGAGATCTAAATTCCAGCTGGGTCACCTCATCATTGTGACTGATGTCACAGGGAAACAAATCTTGTGTTTGCAGCCTGAATGATCAGAAATTGCAGAAGATTAAAGAAGCCAAGGTATCCATACTGTTGGAATTTTCCTAGAAAAGTAAATATTTCTTGAATTAATTTGTGGTCCCCTTTTTGGCACTGTTGGGAGCTGCACTTTCAGCATTTTCTGAGGAAAGGACAAATGGCTGGTTAATGGCAATGAAAATGAAGACAACTTTTGCAATTTTATAAAGCCTTTCTTTTAAAAACTGTTGGAAAAGAGCATCTCAGAGAAGTATTACAATCCCCCTTTCCAGGGAGTTTTGAAACTTGAAGACTTCATTGCAGTTCAAACCATTAAGAAGTCAGTTTTCACGAGCTGCTGCACTTGGCACATTGTCTGGAAAATCCAGAAGGCTGCTGGGAACGCGGTGTTTGCCACACATTTCATCTTTGCCCTTGGCAGCAAGCTCCTGTGACAAAGTAACTTTGAAATCCCAGAAACCACACATACAAGATACATGCATATCTCCTGACTGAAGAACTCGAGTCCTACAGAAATAGAAAATATTAAAAAGTCACAATAAAGAAAAGGAGAATGGGTGTCTCCTTTTCAGCTCATCCTTTAAGCCATGTAGAACTCATTTCAGTCAGCAGGACTTCAGTCCTTGGTCAGAGAGGAGAGTTTGGATGCTTGTAGTTCAGAGGAGGATGTTGCTTGTAAAAGTGGTTGGTCTCAATAAAATCATTCCTGAATTTCAAAAGAATTGAGAATAAACTGTTCAAAAATTACTCAAAAGTCTCCTGTGGTTCAGGGACTGTTTGGAAAAAGGTGTTGAGGTGTTGCAAGTTACTTTTTCTATAACTAAGGCTGATTGCTTACCTGGTCTTTTTTACCACTGCAGATTGGGTAGCATTCAGATTCTCCTGTAAGGAGTGTTGATGATTTTTTTTTTTCCCAACATCTGGATAATTCATTCTGCTATCCAGTCTCCCACCTTGCAGGCAATACAAAAAAGACTTTCAAACAGAGTTTGGAGTGTGATCTGGTCAGATTTATTCTTTCTGATTATGGAGTTTATGGATTATTCTGCTGTCTACAGACACACAGCATTGATATTGACGGGTTACTAAGGAATTTCTGGGCTGGGAATAAGGTGGAGACTCTTGTTTGTTTCAGAATAATAACCACCACACCCACCCACAATCACTGATAAAGAAAACCTGCTAGAATTGATGCAACTGAGGGGAAAAAAAAAATCTTTACTTTTACATTTTTCTATTATTATAGTTTAAACACAACGTGCTGCCCTGTGAAATAATTCTTTGTGGTGCAATTAAACAACTACTGCCTCTTTTTGGTTTTCACAATTTCATACTTGCATGGAGCCCTCATTGCTGTTTTCAAAGAATAGTAACTGCATCTTGAAGGCTTTCTAATGCTCTAAATCCACTGTACCTGGTGATTTCAGTTAAAATCATTAGATGATTCAGATGAGATTGGAAAAGAGAAATATTTAAGTAGTAAAATGTGAACAAAGATGGCTGAGTGTGGCCCTGACTCTTGTGGTATTTATGACATTTCTGGTCATCATCAACCTCAGTGACTGATGTAACTCAGTGGACTTAAAAAGAAATAAACCAACAGAATATTCTCTACCACAGCTGCAGGAGATTAAGTGTATTAGGTAGCTGCCTCAGATGGGCAGAGATAAGAGAGAGAGAGAGAGATAGAGAGAGAGATAGAGGAAGGGAGGGCTGGGTGTCCTATGATTAATGTCAGGGAGGAACTCTCTTGTTGTTGAGTCACTGGAGACAGAGTCCAGGCTGGATACATGACTCATTCCCAGAAGGACTAAGATGAGGCTGCCTGGTAGAGTCATTGCTGTGGTCCAGAGGTTGCTGGAACTTTGTTTGAAGTAACATTAATGATGCTGGAGGGTTTGTGTTAATTCTAGACCAGTAGCACTGTAACAAAATCTGCAGCACAAAAAGAAATAAAGAACTGGGGAGCTGGACTGAGCAAACACAATGTGTTTAAAGGGACTCAAGGAGCCAAAGATCAAGAGGAGCTCTGTAAGCCTCTCAGAGTGTCTCATTATGTCCCTCACCGTCTGCACTGAACTGCCTCTGGCCTCAGGAAGACTGGAGGAATGTTTGGCTGCTGACATGCCTTCCCTTTTGATCATCATGCTGAGTGATACTTCCTCATACATTGTTATGCATCCATATCTGTCAAGAGATATCTGTCTCATATCTTAATGCCTTAAGTTCATTTCTCTGAAGCGAGGAGCAGATTGAATAATTAGCTCTGCATGGTGAGCTGGATCCATCACTGCTGCTCCTTGTTCCTGCAGCGTACAAGGGCGGTAGTCCTTCAGTGGGCAAGGCTGAGACTGCACGGCCAAATGGAAAGGGAAGGAAGCCTTCCTACGGTGAAACACATCTGTATAGCTTCTGACATGCCCAAGTTGTCATGCAAAATCCCACTGTCAGCCCACTTATGAGAGACTATTGTTATTTTCAGTGTCCCTTCACTAGGTTAAAAACAAAACAAATATAACTCGCATTAGCTCAACTTCTTTCCATGCTTTGTAGATCAGATCAGACAACCCACTCTAAAAAAGGCATTTGGCTTCAAGGTTATTTTAGAGAGTAATGCAGTGGCTAAAACAAGAATCAGCAGTGATAAATTTTCAGTCTTGCTGAAGAGTTTTTTCTTGGGATCTCGTAATTGATATACAGCTTCCATATGAAGCTGTATGTGGCTCCAGCTTCTTTTAAATTTTTATTTTTTTTTTATTTTGGGGGGTGGGTATTTGTTGTCATTTAAATCTGGAAGTAGTTAAGCATGCACTTGCCTTATTGGGATTGTTTGATATAATTTGGGTTTTAGGCATGCATTCAATGCAGCAAGGGCATGACTGGAAGATGCTGTCCTAAGTTTCAGGAGGGCTGGCCTAGGTCTTTTATGAGTCTAAACTTCATAAAATTATTTTGTGAAAGAGAATACTATTCCCAATCAGTTTGCAGAACAGAGTGTCAGAGAGGAGGATTTGTACTTATACAGCCAAATAATACATCTCCACTTAATCCGTGAATAATACATCTCCACTTAATCCGTGCAAAGACTTCAGTTTCAGGGCTGCCTGAAACACAGTCAAAATGCAATGTGGTAAATTACAATTTTTGGCTTTTCACCATCAGCAGGAACTCTTTTTGGTCAAGATTTATTGTGCAGGTAAATATCAATTTGGATGACAGAAGGAAAAATTACTTAGGCATTCTCTGTAATGTGTTAACTCCTTTGAAAGTACATTGTGATTATTCTATACTGAAGTAAGCCTGCTTGGAGAATTACTTCATTACCTGAAAATTCCCTGAAAAAAAATTAATCCATTAAACTTTATCCTCTCTGGGGGTCCCTATTAACTATGTTCAGTGTGTGGAAGAATATGTTAAATCCAAAATATTTTCACCACTGGTATTTTAATCAAGTGAGAGACATCCCTCATGGATGCTTAACTGGAGACTTAAAAATCTGCATTTAAATTGATATTCTAAAACATACAACCCAAGAGATTGTGAGTGCCTTTTTCAGTCATACTGTACATGAAGATCATGATGCTCTAACTTATTTGTCATAACTTACTAGTTATCAGGAAGCCAAATTAAAGATTTAGATAAAAAGAGAAAAATGAGGTTTGAGAAAATATTTTGCACTGATTTTTCCCAGCATAAGTATCTGCACAAAGTGCAGCAAAATGGTGAACAACTGGTTGTACAGAAATTTAACTGTCAGATATTGACCACAAACTGCTGCTGTGCTCTGGTATAAACTGGCATCACTGGGTATTGAGCAAAATGGCACAAGAGAAAGCTCTGTCTCCCTGGAAATATTTCCCTGTGTTACCAAAGTGGCTTATTTTGAGGCATTAAATGTTATCCCTTGCAATGAGAATGCAGTTCTGTATTTGGATCTGCAAAGCAAATCCCATTCTCCAATGGATTCCCCACTTCCCAGCATCACTCTTGGCCTTAATGAGAGCACACATTTAAGTGGGAAGGAAAACCAATTCTACACTTCTTCCGGGGCTTTCATTAGTTAGGAGAAAACAATTAAAACCCCAACCAAACAGAAAACCAAACCAACAAACAAAAAAAAAAAAACCCACCACAGCCCCATAGTCTTAATCTTCAAAGAGGTCTGATATCTTCTTCAGCTGGTGGCTTGATCTGGTTTCTATAAAACCCTGATGACTCCACAGCAACATCAGGGCTTCAGTAGTTTGATTATTTGCTGTATATTGGTGCTTCCACCCCACAATACAAAAAAGTGTTTGCATACCTGAGGACTGGAATGTCAGAGAACCTTCCATTATCAAACAGGTGCACCTAGGAAGGAAAGGTAGTATGACCCAAAAAAATGAAGTTGTGTTACGTCTAGTTAATAAAGTGCATATATTAGAGTTCTTTGAGCAAACAACTGAATAACTCACAACTGTTTGAAGCTCATTCACCTCTTCTGCTTCAAAATTTTAGGACAATGAATTTGTAATTGGCTCCAGGATTCCTAGAAGTTTATACAATTTTAACTGGGCATTAAAATTTAATTAAAAAAACAAAAATTGAGAAACCAAACTGAACTAAAAAAGGCTTTTGCTTCCCTTGTGAGGATCTGGTTGCTTGAGTTCAGTGTTTATTTATCATATCAACAAAGGTACCTGTGAGTGGGTGGTCACAAGAAGAGCACCAAAGTGTTCTCCTGTACTGCAGCCTCTTCCTCTGCAGCTAACACTGCCTTTGCATGTCCTAGGAGAGACTGGTGATGGGAGTCTCACATTTTTATTCCTGACAGGTACAAGTGGCAGGCACACACTATTATTCACTATAATCTGTGCCAGTTTTAATTTTGGACTGCTTTGGCGATCTGCTCTTACTAATCCTAGCAAAAAGAATGTTCTTTCAGAGTTTTCTGGGAAGATTTACAGGTAAGGAAAAGGACAAGGTTTACACTGAAGCATATCAAAGTCATATTGTGTGTTTATATTACACAGATGTCAACATGTACCTGACAATCATATCAACTACAAAAATATTAAAATTAGGTGCTAGATGTTCTAGTAATAATTAGAATGAACTCAAACAAGACACAACAGTGATAAAACCCTCCCTATTGCTTTGAAATAGTTTAATTATAACTAAGTCAAGGACATAAAAGTTCAGCAATCAATCTGAGAAAATGTCATGTTTTTTTTTCATAAGGATTGTGAGGAAAAAGATTCAAAGGACCTCATGAGCATGTATTTTCCTACTTTATCTTAGTGTCACACAATATTTGCTATCTTATGCTACTTTATTCCTCACCAAATTTCTAACCAAAGTTTTATTCCATATGTTGCAGGCTAATGCTCCTAGAGTAATGCCCCTTTAACTTGGATTTATTTCATTATTTAGGAATATGCTGTAGAATTCTGTGGTTTGGCTGCCTCAGTTACGCCTTTCACCTCTGCAGAAACAGCACCTGATCGTGTCGTAGTGGTGTCAGAGAGCTGTATCAGGCTTGCAGCCATAGCCCTTTTCCTATAAGAATCACTCTGTTGTACATCAAGATTAACCTCCCCAAAGTAAAAACTATAAAACTATGATGTCCTCTTTTATTAGGTATAAAAAAACCTCAAAAAACCCCAGAAAACCAAAACCCTTAAAAAGGGAACAAAAAAAACCCAAAAAAAAAACCCCAAAAAACCAAACCAAACAGACAAAAAAAGCACCACAAACCACAAAAAACCCAAAAAACAAAACAGTAAAATTATTAAGATACCCAAAGAAGTAAAAACTACATTTTCAGCACCCAGCTTCATTTTCTGAGCTCTCACTGTACCTGGGGGTGGGATCCTCACCTAGAGGTGCTGAATTATCTCCTAGAAAACACTTGCTCTCTGCACCTGTAAGAGAGCAGCTAGTGCCCTGATGGCACCTGGTGCCCTAATTTAATAATTTAGGTGCCCAAAGCTGTGACCCTCCCTCTAAATATGCTATGTCTCTCACACAAGTAGTTTGTTGCTAATTTATGAGATAGTGGTGAATGGAATCATGAAAAAAATACCCCAAAAAAACCCAAAACCACACCCACACAAAATAGTCTGGAAGTTGGGAAGCTAGGGAAGAAATTTGGTATAAAAGGCTATCTGGAAGAAGGAAAGACTCTTCAGAGCCCAAGCAGAGGAAGAACATCCAGGCAAGTCTGGGTACCTAGGCTGGCTTTAGGGTGTTGTGTAGCTGTCAAGGCACTGCAGCAGGGTGAGGAAATCATCCCCCTGTACTCAAGTTTCGTTCAGCTCCCTTGGAGCACAGCTCTGAGAGCCACGAGATCTCTGCACTGCCAGGATGCTCAGTGTGTGCTGCAGAATCCATCTCCCCATTCCAGCAGATTCTGCAGTCCTGCCTGAGCTCCTGCTGCTCTGTGCTCCCTGGTGTGTGTGTTAAACCTGGGCTTGAAAGAATTTCTTTGCCTTTGACTCCAGCACTGAGAGATATGTGATTAATGACTGCCCTCTCTACTGCCTGGAAAATTGTGAAAATGTCTCTGAAATCATTTCTCTTGGATTAAGCTGTACATCACTTTGGTTAACCAAAATATTTTAATTCTAAGCCTTTTTCCTCCACTACTTATTTGGCTAGGTGAAGTTGTTTGAGATTTTTTGTTTGTTTGGGATTTTTTTTTTAAATTTTAAAATAACTTGATCAAAATGAGAATTTTCTTTGGGAAATGAAATATGTTCAAAAAAAAGTAATTTTTTTTCTTCCTTTTTAAATCAAAACTATCTGTTGAACACCATGCTGATTATGGTATGATTTTGTTTCCCCTTATTCTTTTTTCCAGCTAAATGTTCTAAATCAAATTTACGTTACACAATTCTAGCATATTTATTACAATATTATATGTTATAATTCTAGTATATAAAGTCTGTTTTCAAGAGATTGGGCTGGAAGAAAAAGCCAGATTGGATGTGAGACTGAATCAGTCACTGTGCAGTGGTTTGAAAAGAATGTTAACATTGATTTTACTAGCAATATGTGAACTTCAGTCTCCCATAATGATTAAAAAAAATCCTCAGATGGCAGAAAGATTATACTAAACTGCAGTGGCAGTGTCTTTTCTGGGCTGTGTTATGAAAATAACAGAAATTCTTCCCCTGTTCTTCCAAAAAGTAAAACAAAAAGAGGAAAAGATTATTCTTTCCAATATGTACAGGAGACATAACAAATCCAGGGCATGAGCATAGTTTTGACATACTGTATGGCAATTTAATATAGTTTAGCTAAGCAGAACTACAAATCCTTTTGATGTTTATGTTATTTGCAAAGGAACAATTTCACAGATCTTGCCAGTATTAGCAGCTCTCTATAGATTATATTGCAGCAGAAAATAAAAAAGGAAAAGTCAAAGATAGGGAGTTTTTGAAATGGGCCATTTAGTATAGGAATTGAATGCACTGGTGGTTAACATGTGAAGACACCCCTATATTAGAGAAGAGATCAAGGCTGTCATGTGTTTCTTTTAGTTTAAAGGCAATGGAATTGGAAATCCAGTTTAGTAATCTCAGAAATGTATCCAAAACTAAGCAACCAAGAGATGGGAGACTTCAGAAAGAAAAGGCAGTCTGTGTATATATGACATAATGTTTTGTAAGGACAGTAAATGAATAGTTCAACAGAGAGAGAAAGGTTGTAAAAATCTTTTTAGTGTGGTAAAAAACAATTCTCTACAGATGAAACTGCAAATGTAGACTCTTTTATTACATTTATAAATGAGGAAGTTCAATTACCTAAAGTGCATCTCATCAGCAAGATTTTCCAAAGCATTGATGTTGGTCTGACAGTCCCACTGATGTCATTGGCTGATGTTGGTCTGACAGTCCCACTGATGTCATTGGCCTGTCTATACTGATTTCAATACAGAAATTTTAAAGGCACTGGTGAAAATTTGTAACAAACTTAATCCTCTTTGATTTGTTATATGGCACGATCCCTGGGGTAGGGAGTATGGCACATTGATGGCTTTGGTTTGACAGGGGGACTAGATAATTTTAAGCAATGCCCATTTCATGTGCACTCTTGAAATTTCAGTTTAGCTCCTTTGGCTGCAGCTAAAAAATAATTATATGATTTTTTGTATAATTCCTCAAAAGAGAAGCTTGTCCAGTACTTATAGTTTGTTTTCATTATTTTCCATAATGTAGGTCTTCATGTATACTGTGAATAAAGTGCTTAAATATCTTTTCTGTGAATATTAAAAGTCAAAGGAAATAGATTTCAGAGATTGAACACAGAGAATGGCGAGCCTGTAGGCATTAGGCTACAAGCCAGGATTTTGAGACCTTCCAAATCTCTTTTTGGGCCTTTAAAAAGTAACTATAGAACTTTGAAGATGTTTTCCTTGTGGCTCACAGCTGTGGCTTACTCACTTCACTGACCCATGCCACTGATTCTCTCTGTCTTGACTGTTGACTTGGAGGTGACGTTCAGCCACCTCCTCTGATTAATTCCCTGCAGCAAGCACACTCCATTCAAATTACTGCCTAGCTGAGAAGAAGAAACATGTAATGATTTTATACCAGAAATCAGAGGCTGGAAAATTGCTTTGGAAGGCTGAGAATGCTTTCCTGGAATCTCTCTTTGCAGCAAATATTATTCACACATAGTGTCTTTGGGATCTGAGAAGGCTGGGAATGTAACTCACAAACTGGACCCAATTTTTTTTTTATGGTTTTGAATGGCTCGTTTTTGCACCAGTCACTTAAACACTTTAAAACCAGAGTGATGACATCTCCAGGCTCCCTGAGCCTGTGCAACTTGTAAAACTTTGTCAGTTTAAAGACAGGATTTCTTAAACAAATTGTATTTAACTCCAGCAGCAGAGACTTTTGTAGCAGCACATTGAAAAAACACTGAAGAATAGAAGATGTCCTGTAAGTTGTCTCATCCTGTGCTGATAATCCATCAGATCTAACAGCTTGAGCAGTCATGGACTGTGTCAGTGCTCGGGTAGGCACTTCCAAGAAGTGTCCATTATCAATTCAGCTCCTTTTTCAGGATCAGTGAATCCAATGTGTGGGACCTGGGAGTGCAGGGAACTCTGGTTTTGAGTACCACATCACTCCCCGGTCCTGTTCCTCTGTGGCCAGGAGAGGAATTTATGGTGCCTTCATAAATGCTACTTTATAAAAATTCTTAAAGACATAAACTAATGAATAAATTTAGCACTTTCATCCTCAAAGTATATTATTTCTCCTAGCTTTCAAACCCATGCAATTTTTAATTTTAGGGTTTTTTTTTTGTTTGTTTTTTTTTAACCTCTCTTCTTTTCCTCACCCAT